GTGATATTATGAACGGATTCAATAAGAATTGCTAAAATTAAAAATAATGATCTGCATAATTTTCGGGATTGTTGGGACTGATTGCAGGATGCAGAATAATATTTATAACTGTTGAACGGATTAATTAATAATTATCGAAAAACAAAAAAACAAAAAATTAATAATTTTCGGGACTGCTTTCGGGACTAACTGTTAATAAGTATATATGTATAACAAATTAATGGATTAATTAAGATTGACCAAAAAACAAAAAATCTAAATGAATAGTTTTCGGAATTGTCGGGACTGCTTTCGGGATTCATTGTAAATATTATTTACAGTTGAATATAATTTAATAATTATCGAAAGGAAAAAATAATGATATAAATATTTTTCGGGATGGGATTATCGGAACTACTTATGGGATTACTGGTAAATATATGTACATGTATGTATGATACATACTTGTATGTATGATACATACTTGTACATATGCGTGTTAACATTAGAAAAATTGATTAGCCATTCACTTCAGGAAATTCTAAGATTGTCGGTTATTAATTTCGATATTTCAAAGCGGGATTGATTGGATTTTAAAAATGTTAAACTAAATTAAAACAAAAAAAAAAATCGATTGCAGTTATTATTGATTGACATTAAAATCTCTTTTTATAAATATTATTTTTCGATGTTCTTAGAAATATGATTTTTTTTAATTTGAAAAAAACACCCTAGAGGCAAATTTTTTAAGAAATGATATATTTTGATATCTACAAAAATTTAAAAAAATTTTGTCCTAAACGGTTAAAAACATTTTTAATACAACATATTTTTTAAGTGTTATTTGTAAAATTATAAAACTTTGATTACAAACCAACAACATACATACATACATACGAATCTATTATTATCTATATTTCTTAAATGGTCGCATACCAACAACAAATTTAATAGACTATATATTTAAGTTCCCAGAAATTTAAAATTGATAAAGAAATGTTTGCTTCCTGTATACTCTTTTTAAATATTAAAGCAAAATATACTGCCGCACTATGTGTCTTCTGGCAGACTGTCTATGCGCGTTATCAGATCGAAAATTGATTTGCAAAAATAACGAAAAATGTTAGCCAAAAATAGTCAACATGTACGTACATATATATTCATATAACATATGTATGTACATACAAAAACACCAAATGTATGCAAATAAATAGCGTAAACTGCAGCGGCAAGCCGAACGGCGATTTGGGTGGCTTGCAGCCAACGCATTTTTTACACTAATGATGTGACATGCAACCAAAATGTGCATTTGCTTTAATTTTATACATAGCGGTGCACTTTTAACATACACATCACATACAGATACATAAGCCTACAAACATGTGTTTGGCTTATCAGTTTTTTGCGATGAACATATTTCAATGTAAAAATATAATTTATATGAGAGCAGTGTTTGGCAGTTTGCCGCTCGCAGCGTGTACAACAAATGCGCAAAAGAAGTGGCAAATATTCAAATATATGCATTTTTCCAACTACTATTTCTTGCCTTTCAATTGGCCACCAGCCCATCTTGATTAGATGGCAATCAGCAGCACAGCAAATACCAAACGACACATTTCACTCGCAGCTCGTGGGCTCGTGTGTGTGTGTGTGTGTCTCTATATGTTTTTGGCGCGCTCAAATGGGTGGGCCACCGCTGTGCCACCTACCCACAATTGCACTTGTGCTTCTCTTTACAAAAATATATACAAATGTACATATGTTGGCTGTCATTTTGTTTGTATGTGCGCATATCAGGCGGCAGCAATCCATCTGTTTCGCATCAAAATGTGTACGGCCATACATTAATACATAAATATTAGTATATATATGTATGTATACATAACATCAGTGCGCCCTTTTAAATAAGCGCTTAGCATTCGTAACCCCTTTCGGTAGCGCGGGCGTACATTTTTGCGCTCGTAAATTGTCAGCTGTGTGTGGGCTCACACGTTTAATGTCTAATCTGATTGGCGATTTATGGAAATTTTGTTGCCTGCTAACTTATTAGTCGCACATGCCCACATATCTACATAAAAATACACTATACATATGTATATATCTATGTATATGCATTTATTTATCTATCATTACATGTTTTTGCATGTCCGTTTACTGAAGTCACTCGTCTACAGCGCACCGTTATAATTCAGTTCTAATGCACTCACACAAACACTCGCACTCGCACTCGCGTGTGCTCATGTGGCCGAACAGAATGCAGTGAGTTTCGCTCTGCGTGGTCATTAGTATGTTGGACATCATTTGATTTGAAGCCATCGTTGGCTTTAACGACGAATCAACTAACGAATGGACATTGGTTTAGCGTTGATGGCGTTGCCGATGAAGTACGTGAATTGACGATGGGTGTTAGTTATTGGCTACTCACTTACTCACCTGCTGTACATTTACATACATGCTTACAGTTTGTGGGTGTGAATTTATGTGTTGGTTTGATTTATTTTAAATTGTGTGCTGTGGTAAAAAAAAAAACAAATGTTGCGATTTATGGAGATGTGAGGTGTTTGCAAGTAGAAAACCTAATGAAGTGTCGTTCGAGTTTAGAATATTGTTTCTAAATTTTAAAGCACTGATTCTTTATATTGCATAAAAATTAAAGTTATATAAAAAGTTTTAAATATAGATTTTAATTTTTGTTGCGCTTTTAATGTTGAAAAATTAAGAGAATTATGAAATTATGAAAAATATCCTGAATTTATATAAGAATGTGCAAAAAACGCTGTTAACCATTATGAAACAATTTTTCAACAATTTTAAATTTTTTTGGTTGTAAATTACAGTACAAGAAAGACACTGACATGTAAATGACATTTTTCGAAAAACTTTTACGTACCCAACAAACAAATATTATATGATCAGGAAAAAAAAAAAAAAATATAAAAATGCCTACAGCACACTTAAAAAACTTTAGAGTCAACGGTAAGCAGGTAGAATATTGTAGTAAAAATTACAAAAAGCAAGTAAAGAAATACGAAAGTGAAAGCATATGACACTTAAAAAAAATGTAAAAATGTAACTTGCACACTTTTTCACCACCAAAGTGGTTGCTGAAATTTTTATGGTGCCATGTAATAACTCTACAAACTTTTTAGCCACCCCTAAGCTGTTGGTAGGTTGTTGCTACTAATTTCTTGTTTTGTTTTTCTTTTCAGCTAATGAATTTTTAATGTGCACTGATGCGAAAAACTTTCTGTTTGTTGTCGTGTTGTTTCGCGCTTTTCTTATTAACACAACGACGAGGTAAACAGGTACAAGTATGTACATATGTATATATGTATCTACTAACGCGTATTTTTATTTTATGAATACTCTAGAATGTAAAAGTGTTTTCAAGAACAAAAAAAAAAAAAGAATACAAATTCATGAATTTTTTTCATCATTATCCACTTTATGAAAATTGAATTTCGCTTCCACATCATTGGCGCGGCAAAAGCCTCAAACACTGCCACCTACACCTCCGCAGCGCAACCAGCATACAGCCCAGTCAATGCTATTACACATAAATTACCCCAATTTAGCCGGTAAGCGATTTCTTCCCCATTTACTTTCCAGCGTGCGCCGCTTATCGCATCTTCACAGGCCGCACAGTGCACGCGGCAGCCCGTTGTTCGACGCTTATCTTATCGTCAAACAGCAAACGTTGTACAGAAGGTATTAAACGCACACACACACTTATATAATAAGAATAACAATGCCACTTTATGCACAGCATCTTTAAATAATCATCAACAATTCATCAAAACGTTTAAGCGCCACGCCAAAAGCGTCAAGGGTTGCGGCAAGGTCGGCATGATTGACTGCACAACGTAGGCGGGGTACCGTTATATGAATAGAATGACTGACCACGTTTGTTGTGTTTGCCACAAGAACACTGCACCCGCCTGACTGAAGTGCAAATCTGATTTCCGTTTAAGCGATTTACTTCACACGCACGCCGGTCGCTGGCGTGCACCCCAAGCGCTTTGGCCGCTGTGTTCATCTTAGCGCTGCAACCCTAAGCGCATATACATACTATGTGTATTTGTGTGTGTATTGGTGTCACTTTTAATCTCATCATATTTCCGTTACCCTGCACTTGATTTCCTGCAGTTAGAGCTAAAGCGCGTTGGCAACGCAAAATTTGGGGTTGGCGTAGCCACTTGCTCTACACAGTCATATATACATGTACATATGTATGTGGGCAAGTATCGGTTTGAACCAAAAATACACACACACATGCATACATAAGGGCTTGCCTGCTAAATGGTGTGTGAAATCGCTGCCGCACTTAACGGGGGTTAAGCGCGCCACGCCATACAGTTTGACTTACCGCTACCCAAACGTATATATGTATGTATGTGTATATGTAACTTTTTAGCGATTTATTTTCGCCGCTTTGTCTCTGTTTTTGTAGTTGCGCTTGTAGTTACTACCATTGGCATTATAAACGATTTAAACGCTTATATCATTAAACTATCATCAGCGCACCCGCTGTGCCGCACCACTAACCGGTGCTGATACCGGAATTGCAGCGCCCTTCCGTTGCCGCTTGGGCGTGTGACTTTAGAGAATTTGTTAGCATTTCAGCGTTGTTGGGCAAATAAATTCTGACAGGATTAGCATACTAATAAACACATGTAACGGCGCCTGTGTGCTTGTCGCGGCTGAGCGCTGTCATTTTTATTGCCGCCGCGCGCACTGATGCAGTCGAAAGCATATGCGGCGCGGATTAGCTCAGTGTATTAGCAGCTACTTGTAACGGACTTAGCTCCCACGAGAGCGTAAATGTCCAATGTTGGAAATAAACTTTTCGCTTTGCAGGAAATAAAGCGCGGAAGTCATTTATGTTGACAGCGTGCGCGTGTGGATGCGGCAAAGTGTTGCCAACTACATACATAGATGTGTTTGAGCTTTTGGTATAAAGTTATTTATAACTTATTTTTTTTTTTTAGTATTTTTTAATAAATTTTGATTTCTGCACTTACATTATGCAACTTGTAGTAGAGTCCGCAGGCATTACACACGGGTTCGCCGCTGGCGTTCCGCCGCCAAAGTGTTGTCGTTGTGGTTTTGCAATTCGCGCATGATGTCCCCGCTCGCTTCGCGGCGCTTTGTAGCGACTGTAGTGTCTGCAAGAGAAAGACAAATGTAAAGGTGGTTGTGAGTGCGTGCTTTTTAGGGGGGTTTGTTTGTAGCAAAAGGGTTAAATCGCTAAGTTAAGTTTGTTGGCTATAAATTAAGTTTTTATGTAATTTTCTGTGGCTGCGTGAGTGTAAAAAACTTCCTACAAACCACGATTGCGGTTTATTAAGCAATTCGCTGTATTATTTATTTGTACAAGGGCGTCGTATGAGATTAATTATATGTGTATGTTGGCATATATGTACATACATATGCGTTTGTGGGTTATGACATTTTTATAAGACGAAGTTGTTTACTTGCTCAATGCAAAGTGAATTTTTACTGAATCTCAAATACGAAAAATGTTTAATTTGTTTGTATCATTGCATAAATATAAAAGAATTTAATTTAATTTTTTAACATTAATTAATCTTTTAAATTTATTTGGATTTTTAAGTTTAATTAGTTTTTTTAATGTTAAATTTTTGGCTATATCATAAACAAATTTTAAATAAATATCTCTTGAAAACAAAATATGTAAAATTATATAAATACATAACCTAAAAAATAATAATACGAATTTCTAAAACACTTTAAAATTATTTTACTCTGTTTCCTTAAAATAATCCCATTGTGCTTCACGTAATACAAAATACATACATACATATACATATATTTAAAATGCTAAAGAACTTTACAAAGCCAATATTCGAAACTTGCACATTCATAAATATTTGTTTATACGTCATTATGTCTGTATTTGTCTCGATTCGCGTTCGCACACCAAAAATATGCCAAAACACGAATTCTCAAATAAATACCAACAAGTGTGAGCTCGCATGCGTAGTATACAAATCAATATGAAATCGTGTTTTTTAATCTTTTGTGCAAAAGCACACACAAACATGCATAAACATGCAAACGCATACTCGTGTGACTTGTCGCTTAATTTTATGCCCAACCGATGCAATCGTAATCGGCGCGCGAACCCGCACTGCTTTAATAGGCCACTACACGACAGACAGCAGCACATACGCAAGCACATATGTATGTGTGTGAGTATATATGAGAGTATTTGTTGCTATTTAGGTGTGTTTAGCCGTGTGACAAGTATGGAGGAGTTGGCGAAATCTGCTGCTGTTTACAGGATAGGTAGATAGCAGTGAAATGGATTGCAGTGCGTTGGTGTTGTTGCAGCTTAGCCGTGCAGTGTTGCAGAGTGAACCGACGTGTAGTAATGGTGCTTAGTGTTTCGAATTCATTAAAATGGACCTTGTTAGCATTAAAATGTTATTTTCATTAATTTTGCTTTACACTTTTATTTTATTGCTGTCGCTGTTGTTGTTGGTGTGTGGGATTTTCTTGCAGAGGTGTGAAGTGTGTTGCAAGAACGTCGCAAGACGCACACAGCTATTAATGGGCAAAACGGTGTAAAAGTTAACCAAAGTAACAACAACAACAACAGTATTGTCAACAACATCAATACCAGAGACCAGAGAGTTTTGTCGAATTGTCATGTTAACAACTTAATTTATACTGTTTCATGCGAATTGCAAAGAAAAGCACGTGATGGCTATATATGCATATACATATATGCATATGTGTGTGCCGGTCGTGGTTACCAACTACATTTTTTTTATTGTTGTAGTTTTATTTAGTATTCACACCTTTATTTGCATTTGTGTTTGTATGTACGTGTTGTTGCTTGATGCTGTTTTTTGTGTGACGTTTTAGTGTAACGGTTAATAGTCGTTTCTTAATTTGACGGTAACAAGGATGTGGCAGTTGCAAGTGTGGTAGTCCATCGTTTTACATATGTACAACTAGGTGTGTGTACATATGTACATATGTATATGTATGTGTATATATATTTTTATACAACTTAAAAAATCAGCGTATTTGTTATTGTGCAACATAAAAACTAACACATAGCAGCGAACTTGTGGCCCCACTTGCGCTTCTCCACCATGCAGCTTCACACAAAATACAGGTACACTTGTGGGCGTTGCAATTAATTTCGATTTTCGCACATTTTGCAAAAAGTTAACCGACTTGTGGATTTCCGTTGCTGCTCCAAAACTGATTGCGAACAAGTCATGTTGCATATGTATGTATGTTGCCTGCAATTGCATTGTCTGTATATTGCTTTTGCTGTTGCCTCAATTGAAGTGTAAAATTATGTAAGCAAAAATTGTGGCAAGTTCGTTAGGCATGTGGCACAGTGCAACGAGTCGTAGTTACGGCTGAAAAGCAGGCAACAACAAGAGTGCTTGTGGCAAAATTTGTGCGCTGCACAATGAAATATACGCTTTTATGTGTGCCACAACCTTCAAAACGTGGCCGGAACAGGTGGTGGCAAGTGCCGTGACCACTGAACATGCAACTGCGATTGAAAAAACATCAATTAAAAGTGCATCGTCAAACATGATCAATAGCAGACAGTGAACACAACGCGCCAGATAGCGCATATGCAACAACAACAACAAGTGAAATAAAAATAGTTGTTGGAATTGGAAAAAAACGCAGCACTTAGTGCAGTAACTGGCTTTCGAGGCGAGAAACGCAAACGTTTTAGCGTGTTGCATGAACATGATCACGTGCAAAATCAGCGGAGGCAAGAAAAAGGTACACAGTATGTATATTGGAAAAGAGGCGAGTTAAAGTGTGGCACAGTCGGAGTACCAACTAACTAGGCGTGTGCGCCTTACCGAATACAGCGCTGGCTATATTGGATGCTCGGTGGCAACTTGGCGTTGCACTAGCGTACCGTATTTTTACGCAAAAAGTCACACACACTCGCGCGCTTAAAAAGTGACTTTAATATAAATTCGAAATTAAAAGAGCCGAACTTCACGCTTAAGACTTGGCCTTGCTGCCGCAACGATATGGTCCAGCCACGCCGCGTTGCTCGCACTTAAGTTGCTTAAACTGAAAAATTAAGCACCAGCAACAACAACAACTAAGGCAGCAGCAGCGGTTAGAGTGCCATGTCGCATTGCAGTTAAAACGCAGTAAAAAAGCAGGCGCTCATGTTGCAGGCAATTCGTGGAAATCGCGGAAGGACAAGAGGAAATCGCCAACGAAAGCAATGAGAAGTGAATAAAATTTAAAAAGACAGAGTAGCGCAGCAAAAGCAGTAAAATAAAACAAAAAAACGTGATGTTGAAAAAAATGTGAAGCAGTGATTTTTTTCTCTCACTGCCTGCAACAACAACCCGTGTCATGGAGAAGTGCATTAGCTGACCGTGTGTATAAGGCATTTACGTGTGTACCAAGTAGCTGCTGCTCGTCATGTGAGTTTTGTAAAATTGTCATTTTAATGAATTGTTGCTGCTGTTAAATAAAGTTCTTGTGAAGCACAAATTTTTCGTGGCAATGCGGCTTGAAGGAAGGTTGCAGCGAAGTGGAAGTCATTTAGAGAAGAACGTTGTTGAATAAAATTTTATATTATTATTTTTTATTTTTTGTGTTTTGTTTTTCTTGGATTTTTTTTTATTTATTATTTATTTTTTCTTTTTAAGTAACCATTTATGGTATATGATCAAAATTGAAGCGGACTCATTCGAATCGATAAAAATAAATAAAATTATAAATTGTTGCAACTTTTTCTATAAACGTGTCAAGTTGTATATTGATAAGTTAATTAGCGTGTACTTGTCTACAACTTTTCATTGTATTTCATACTACTTCCTCATTTTAATTCAACTACCTTAAGCAATTTGACCAAACGAACCGATTTATGGACTGAAAATTCATCGTTTTTTATCACGAAAAAGAGCCGAAACATTCTACTATGTTTGCAACCCACTTTTTGACTGACCACGAAACAAAAGTCATCACTCAGTCAGCGTATTCGCTAAATTAGTTTTTTTCTGTGTTCGAAACTAAAATATCATATGTTGTATTGCTGTATATTGAGACTATTTTGAAGGCAATAATGTAGACTTCTAATAAAATATGTGAAAGTGTTAATTTTAAGTCAGTTCGGTTCAAATTTGATGGCATGTATCTATTATATTTTTTAAGATTTATCACATATTTAAAGACTTTTATTAAAACATGCAAAAATATAATTTCTTGTCTGTCTGGTTCAAATTTGATCACAAGTAACTGTCATATTTTTTGTTTCAAAGTTAAGTTACGCTTCACAACTAATACCTCAATTAGGCGCTAGTGTTGCATATGTTAATTATTGACCTATTTACTAATGACTTTTTGACAACATCTTAAATTTTTTTTAACAGAATCATTGACAAATTGTTGCTTTTGTGATTAAATTCAGCTAGTTCGGAGGAAATTTATTATTTATTAGCTTTATTTTCGAAATGAATATTAATGAAATTTAGTGGCATTAATAATTTTCAAATTTGGTTTTAAGAGAGTATTCGTAAAGATTTTAGTTTTTTGATAATGAAAAATTAATAATTTTTCTCTGAAAGCTTTTTCTGAAAAAACAAGGCAAATCGAAACGACTGAACTGATCGGTTCGAAATTTTCAGATATATTCTTATATATATTTACCAGATACTTAGTGAACGAAAAAATAAGAACCTTTTTTCCACACGCCCTTGGGAAGCCGACATATTCTTATAAATTAAAATTTTGACTCGTCAATCGTGACCTACATATATTCATCTAAAATTATAAATATTTTTTAGGCTTTGGATTTTAGATTTTAAACGAAAAAAAAAATTGTTTATCACCTTTCGCCTTTTCTCGGAGGTCCTCCTGGAGGTCGGTTACGGAAATGCAAATTTTTTCGAATTATTGTATTTATTTATTTAAAAAAAATTATTTGTTAAAAAAATCACAAAAAAAAACAAAAATGTGTTTTATATAATTTATTTATTAGGTAAAATGCTTATTCAAAAAAAAAAAAAACACTTCAAATGCCTTGTTTCTGACTTCTAAGTGTGTCTAACCCCTCAAACAGTGTCTAATCCTTACTTGCTTACCTTATCCATCTTCTTCTTCCTTTGATGCCTAAGCTTTACTTAACTTTTCTTGC